GGCACTTTTTCACCCGAGTTCACCACCGAAAGTGGTGTTCGACAGGGTTGCCCTCTCTCTCCTTTTCTATTTAACTTTGTCATAGATTTAATTTTTGAAACAGCTTTATCCTCGTGCAGGGATAGCGGTATCGATTTACTTCCGGGTGGTAGACTGTCTGATCTAGAGTATGCACACAACATTGTGCTACTAAGTGACGATNCATTGAAGACTGCCGCTCCTACTGGTCAACACCCGTAGACACGGACCATGCTCTGCTACGAGCGAGATTCTTCCTAGGCCTGATAAACAACCGCAGAAAAGCCGCCGAAAACGGATGGCCACAATACACTGTCTGATCTAGAGTATGCACACAACATTGTGCTACTAAGTGACGATCCAGGTAAGTTGCAAGCTTTTCTGGATAGTTTGCATGCTAGTGTTGCCATGTTCGGTATGCGTTTTGCACCTTCAAAGTGTAAAATGCTACTACAAGATTGGGTTGATCCAGCACCCTGTCTCACCCTAACTGGGGAAGTAGTAAAGGAAGCAGACAAATTTCGCTATCTAGGCAGCTATATCTCACCCGGCGGACGCATCACAGATGAAGTGTCGGTGCGTATACAGAAGGCTCGATTGGCATTTGCCAACTTGAGACATTTGTGGCGCCGTCGCGATATCCGGCTGTCTGTGAAGGGTCGAGTGTATGCTGCAGCAGTTTGGCCAGTCCTGCTCTACGGTGCAGAGACTTGGCCATTACGGGAACAGGATAGAAATTGACTGTCGGTGTTCGAACACCGCTGTCTACGTAGCATTGCACGTGTCTGGTGGGGTAACCAACAGGATAAAAATAGATCGTCGGTGTTCGAACACCGCTGTCTACGTAGCATTGCACGTGTCTGGTGGGGTAACCGGACTAGCGATGCTGAGGTTAGCGTAGAGTTTTAGGCAGTCGCGGTTCGTCCACTAGAGGAAGTGATTAACCTCGATAGATTACGTTGTTTGGGACATGTGCTACGCATGTCACCAGATAGATTGTCACGGCGAACGATGTTTGCCAAGGCTGGTAGCGATTGGAATAATACGAAGAGCGGTCAAGCTAAGACCTGGCATGAGGGTATGAAAACCCTAACCAGGAGACTGACTCACATTGGTCCCGTCAGGCTCCCTGGCTGCGGACCCAGAAATCATGGTCACCGATGGTTAGAGGCACTGAGCGATATGGCTGCGTGTCGCAAACAGTGACGCTCGTGCATCCACTCGTTATTTTTCTAACACCACTCTATATGTATTCCCGATCTTCCGCTTGAATTTGCTTCGAAATTCTAGTCTTCATTTCGCTCTTTTATGCAAATGGGCAACCAAAACCGGCGGACGAAAGTGCATGGTTAATGGTTGTAAAAACTGAACTGAACTGAAATGTTGTGCACAACCTTATTACAAGAGCACGATTTACCATTAATCCAACACAGCTATCCGGTGCTTCCTATGATTGATTAGTGGTACTGTTGCAATAGTGTTTTGACCAGGAATAGTTGAGAAAACGTCTTTTGGAGATACAGACAAAAAGCGGTTAGCTTTGCAATAGAGATACCCAAAGCCGTTCATCTGTAGCCATTAACGTTCAAGCCACCACGAGGGCGAAAACTATCTACCCATTTCATTCAAGAAAGAAAACATTGAATCATCGAGTTCGCTCATCTGTCAGGTGCATATCGATGCAAGTAGACTTCGACTCACGAGGACGTTAATTCCATTGTGCAGACAAAAGGTGGATTGCTAATGCTGATGGTTTTTTCGTGTCGACAGTCTTTCATGGAGTACATCGAGTCGGCGGTGCAATAGGATTATTCCAGTGACGGAGGTGCTGTTAACCAGTTTCAATCACTATCACTGCTATAATCTGGGCCTTAAGATCCGAGGTTCGAACCCTGCCACCAGCGTTAATATTTAGTGGTAAGCAGTTCCACTGTCGTTTGAGTCAATACCACTGGTTCTCAAATTCGGAAGGCTTAGGTTGTCAAAACGATGACGTTTATCTGGGGAGCCCTGAGGCTGTCACCTCTTCAATTAGATGCAACGTTCTGTTCAGTTTCATCCGTGAGGACGGCATCTACTCACTGGGGCCAATACGACTAAGGTGAACCATGAACTCCAACTAAAAGTTCAAAATGTCATTTATTTAACCCATACAGTTATGCATTACTAGGCTGATGAGAGTATGACATTGTACTTTCAACAGTAACTTCCATGGTTGGTTTCGGACTACGACCCAACCAATCTTGAGGGGTTGTCACTCATTAACCATCTCTTTATACGGTACTGTGTAGCGTTCATTGGTAAAACTATCTCAGTAAACAGATAGTTTTCTGCACTCGAAGGATTTGCCTCAATTTTATCGTGAGACATTTTTATTATTTATATTTTTGTGATGACCAACGGACGGGATAGATTTCATAGTCACGAGGACCTGCTCTTCATTGATGGAAACCGGTAACCTGATTCCCGAGTGGCGAACCTGTACGTTAGGCATAGTATTGAATCGGACTACAAACACCAAATCTGGATGGCGGGGCTCGAACCTCGGACCATAGGGTCCAAAGCACGCCGGTGACAGCGACTAAACCGCTGAGCTAAAAACCCAACCTATACCAGTCCCGTTTGGTGATTGTAGTGAGCTGAGGCAGCATGTTCTATTGTTCGTTTGCGTTTTCCTGCTGCGCAGAAGTCACACCGAATTAAACCAGAGTTTATTTCTCTATTTATCGTTTCAGACCAAGTGTCAAAAAAGAAGGCAATACGACAATGTTAATGGCATTCGTAACACGAACGAAGAGGCCAAACACGGAGGGGAAGGACGAGACCGAACCACCGATCAAAAAGGCTGACAATGATGTGTCGGGCACAAGCATAAAGAAGGACGATGAATCCGATTCGCCTTTCAAAGTAGAAGAAGTGTGAACCCAGTGTGAATTTCTGTTCATTTTGTTCAATTTACCGCAGGTTTTGAGTTCCTACCTTATTTCTGCATTTACTCAGCACAACTGCGCTCTCCCACCCACACACATTGGAAGAACAAAAATATTTTTTCTTATCTCAGGACTTTTGTTAATCAAAGTTATAAAACTTTTACGATTATGTATAAATATATATATATATCATTATTAATTAAAATAGTAACTCCTTTTTGATGTGGATAAATCACAGTAGAGATGGTGGCAAAAAGAAAACAGTGAATCAATTTTCACAGATTTGGCGAAACTGGGTTGGACGGCCCGGAATTTTCATCCGCGTTCTGATCCGGTGACCGGGGTTTGGGTCCAACTCCGTCGTAGACAGAAAGCATCCCACGACGTCGGCCCACCACACGTGCTGATGATCCGGGACTCTGTTGAGACAGGCACAATGACAGAATACGGGGACCAATGAAGGAGTTGCAAATTCCGACACCGTGCCAGATATCATGTTGCTCAAAGCAGATGCTGACCACTAACTAGTAAGTCCGTTAGCGAGGTCAATCGCAGAATTGTGCAACAGAGATATACACAGACCAAAGGGTACGGCAAACTTGTGAATTGTGGAATACAGTATTGGAGCGGAAGATACGCTAAGGTGCATTCAACCTTGTCGTTTGAGTAGAGAAAGTAAAACGAACACTACCGATAGTCTGTTGTCATCTCAGATGCCTTTTTGTGTGTGTGTGTGTGTGTACTGTGCTGACACAAATGCGTTCAACTTGACGGCAATTTTAGCTACCTCTGTGTTTGTTTGATATTCTGCTCCAACCGAACGAATATCGATCCCGTATTTATGTGATTTAGTTGTATGATTATTCACTTTGGTCAGTTAAGAGAATTACGTAAATTTTGGACAGCTTCCCATGGAAGGAAAGTACCAATCAGAATGATCAGAATCATAGACATTACAACGGTGAATAGAGAAGGCGAGAAGGGCCAATTTGATGGAAACAGCTTTCACTGATAAAAACGGGCGAAAAGGAGCCGTAGGTGTGAGCTTTGTTTCGGCTACTAGTACAACAGGATGGTGATAGTGAAATAAACCTCCCGGCACATCGTCTAAAGAGGATTTTTCTAGAGTATACAGTCGCTAACTACGTCGAAGGTCACATTTAGAGGAACACAAATATGAGGTCAACGGAAGGAATGTGTTCTGGATATTAGCGAACAGCGACTGAATATGGTTCACGCAGCTCTGACCAGGTCTAAAACCAGCCTGGCTCACTGTTCACACGCGATAGACAATCGGTGGCAGCCGAAAGCTGTGAGACATGGTTGATCCAACTAATTCCTCTGTGGTTTTCACAAGACAGTCTACCACCACGTAACCCGATTCAGCTGAAACGTCTTCACTTTCCCGTTTTGAACCCGAGAGTTTTGTCTACTCTAAGACAAACGCTGAACCTCAATCCTTAAAAGCCATTAGAGACAACTCATCCGGGTCAGTGATCCATAACCTTTCAAGGTAACTTATTTCCAGAGGATTGATATCCGCAGGCAGTAGTTGCCTAGTGCAGTCGGATATCCGTATTACTTCGTTTGCACCAACTTGGTGAAACTCGAAAAATACAGATTCAAGCCATGACAACGAGTGGATTAGAGAAAGATCAGTACTATTAGTGCGGCCTCGAGGCTCAGCTGATAGGGCGTGCGCGTACAGAGCGTAAGCGGCGTCCATGCGTGGGTTCGAATCCCACCGAGGCTATCGAACTTTTCACAATCGCCATATAAAGGAAAGATGACAAATCAGATTTGTTCTGGCTGAACGCATCAAGTTTGAGTTTTCGGTAATCGTGCGAACAAATCAACCGTCTTAATCCACTAAAATAAGACCCGGCAAGTTTGTCTGTGAAAAATGCACTATCCTCTACAAACCGGACTGGTTCAGAGCGGAATGAATATAATCCGGAAGACTTCAGTGACTATAGAGAAGTTGAGTAATAATGTGAAATATCTACACAACCGCCCAACTCAGTTCAGAGTAGAAAAAATGTCACTGCTTTCCACTTGTAGAATAGGTAGCTCGTTCACACAATCTTTCGTGGTAACACACATACGGGAAATATACTGCAAAGTGGCATCTGTGGTACCACTGAACCTTTTCTCTTCTTCGACATTCAGTATTAAGTCAACTGTGGGTAGAATATTTTACTAACCGCTAATTAATACCCCATGAAGTACAGAGTTGTCAACGCTTGTGGGATCATGGATAACTGTAACTCATCCTTATCAATACCTATTTCATTCACTAAACTATAAGTGATCGCACAGATGTAACCAGTATGTGAAAAGATGCGACGGGTTGAGCAATAATTCCATAAAGATAACCTACGCGGTGAAGCTTAGTAGCGAAGGGAGAAGCCACCGGTAACAGATTGATGCTATTGGTATTGTGGATTGAATGTGTTAATCATCCAGGGAATGACAGAGAAAAATATGATTTCTGTTAGCTAGTGAATAGGTTCGAATTTGATCTTACTATTCAGGTGAAATACTGCTACTTCTTTCACCATTGTTAAATATCTTGTCAATTGTCCATTTCAATGTCAAAAATACGTAAGCAATCGCATTTGATTCAAAGGAATCGGTTTTATTCGAAAGAAACTCCGTCTCAATGGAATTTACTCGCTTGGACTAACCCCACTCGTGCAATGAATCACGCTCACATTCACGTTTGGGGGCGTGGTAAGCGACTTATCGATCCATCTTGACGTGATTCGCTTCCTTACCCGACCGACAAAGGTCAATCAACTTTAAGTTCGTTCATTTGTATCAATAACGCACACTCGATCAACAATCACGATCATAAACGTTCCCGGTGGAACGGGGATGTGTGTGGGGGGGGGAAGGGGTAGAACGGCCCACCTCATCCCACCGAAACTTTCATCTTCGCTCAAAAAGTACTTTTGATTGTTTAAGGAGAAGTCAGTTCATTCGGACTGGACGGGGTTTGGACAGACCCAGTCCAATCGATGACATTTGACGGCCGAAACACCAATCACCTTGTGGGGTTCGCAACGGAATGCGATTGGTTGGATTCACTTTAATTTGAAAAGGTATAGATAACGAACACGAGTAAGGAGATGCACCAGAGCTTCTGTTCAGAATTTCATCTAGTGTCATTATTGATCGATGGTGAGAATTCTCACACACGCAGTCTGACCTGCACCCGGAAAACACCCCAAACTGGGGTCTTCCTACCAATTGTATGTTCCCGTGTCATTGATCGAAAATTGCACATAATCATTTTAGCTAATTTCTGCACAAATACCCCCACAAGATACAATTTCTCAAGTATTACGTATTAGCTTTTTCCACTGTTGATGGATTCAGGAAGCGAAACGTTTGGTAAGACCAAAACCGCCAAGGTGGCTGGATAAAAGATCGTTGATCTAGCATCCTGTGTGACACACTTAAAAAAAAGAAACCGAAATCTCGTATCCAACACGGTTGTACAGTACCCCGGTGCTGTGACAAAATCCGCTGACGTGGTGTCAATTAGTGGAATGAGCATTTACCTAAAACTCTCCTCACTTATTGTTTATCGGGCTTCGATTTACTACCGCTAGCTTCCCGAATACTGACCTTACAAGTGCTGCATATCAAACTAATGAAAGTAGAAAGATTAATCTGTTTAATGAGCGGGAACGTCACGTGAACAGGTGCAGAAGATTTCCGATCGTCCAAGGATTTTGCAACACTAGATGCTGGTTTTGTGGATCTAATGTTACAATATTTTGTTGAAGTGATGACCTTAATTTTTTTTCTTTTCACCATTTCAGCTATTCCTGTATTTTTTCAAACTCTGCTTTCTGAAACGTTCCTTTATTCCAAAAATCATGGTCAGAATATACACAAACCCTCACCCTAGCGCTTGATATTCATTCTGTTGGATAACTGCCCCATAACTTGCTCCGTTCCGTCGTCGTCGCTTATTCTATCCTCTTCTTTGATCTGGTGCCATTCCTTCCTGTTGAGAAGTTGCACATGTTTGTCGACTCTATCAACCGAACAGCTATCGCCCCATCTCGCTGTTCGCAGCCATTTTTACAGTCATGGAAACTGTGATTGCGAAACAAACGACTTGCGCATCTGGAACACTACGCAATTAGGGGTGACCACCAGCACCGCTTACGCCTCTGCAACGAACAGCCATAATATCTCCAAGACTTTCGACCGAGTGTGACACGAAAGTTTATTGGCAAAATAACCGATGTCTGGTATTTTTCTGGAAGTAATATCATGGGTCCCTGAGATGCCTAAGCAACCGCTCCGTCCCGGTCCTGGTTGACGGACCGGATTCGGGTATTTGCCATGTGTCTACTGGGAAGTTCACAAAGTTTCTTGCTCTCCCGCACACCATTCGTATTATCTAGTGATGATATTCTCTCAACCACTTTCGACTCCGTGCGCGTTTATTGAGTTGGTTGAAGAGTGCCAGGCCTCGAGAAATTCTCTGGCGTGTTTTGACCGGGCTTGGTCGATAATTCTCACTGATTCGAAGTCAAATTGATGTCCTTCTT